ACACACACATTATGATAATCATTGGAGAAGAGAGACGTATCTCTAATGTAAAAGGGGCTCTATTTACTCATAACGTGGCTTTATTGTCTCTGTAGGACAATATACTTTAAAACACGTTTATTGCCAAAAAGAGACTTTTACAAATCCCATAAAGCAAACTCTATTAGGGCAGGAGTGAAAGGAATGAACACCTGAGTGGCAGGTTTCTCCCTCACCACCAGAGATATGGTGACAGGACAAAGCCTTATGCCGTGAACAAAAGGCAGAGTGTTTAGAATCTGCAGTTTCAAGAAGGCTGCATAAAATTATGTCACTTTAAAGTAAATTTGCTTCTGATTCTGTATACATATCTTTGAAAGAAGTCCTACATCCCCTAAGTGTAAGCTTTATCCCTATGTTTTCAAATAAGAAAACCTTTAGTCAGTGACTGGTATGAGCAAGTGGTGTCTTTGTGTGTGAGCACTTCCTGTTTTCATTCCATGATCAAATATATTCTTTGCAGCACAACTAGGGGAGCTCTTGAAGGTGGTAAGTGGAGGTGCCTGAGAGCCTAATTGAGCACACTAAGGACTTCTTGCCATGGAGGAGTTTTTCATGGTTATGAATAAACCGTTAGCCTGGGTATTATTGCTTGCTGTTTCTTTCTTTAACTATCGTTGAAGTCAAATAAAAACAGTTGTAATGGCAGGCTTACTTTTATGATATCATAATCTCCATGTGTTTGTGAAAGGAGTATACTTCCCTAGGATTTCCCTGATCTTTTTTTTTTTTTTGCCATTGGATACTTTCCAGCAAAAGCACATACATTTCCAACAGATTCTTTCTTCGATCTTCACTAGATTTCTTAGTCTGAGAGCCAGGCACAATCATCATCCAATAGAAGAGGGGGATGATAATAATATATACAACATTTTCAATAGCTGAATTTCTCTCTCTATATATATATGGATTTATTTCTTTAAGATTATTGTGTTTTTCTAAAGGGGATTTTTAAAAGACATTTTGGAAATTGGTAGTTAGAAACTAGAAACTAATTACTTAGCCTTAGAGTAAGCAAATTCAAAATGCTTAACTCTGAATATGAAAATTCCTCAATTCATCAAATAGTTTGTTTTTTTAAATGCCACTTTGAATTTAGTTTAAATATTTTCCTCAATATAATCAATTGGCTGCAAATATATTACCTTTTCCCCTAAAGCTGGCAGTGCATAAGAATTTGAGGGATTGTTTTAACTGTTACAGTTGTAGTGAAACTTGTTCTTCCAAGAAAACTGAAGGTTAATGATTTTTGTCATATTGAAACTAAGACTTAACAATTGCTACAGTCAGCCTTTGTTGAGGTGGGATTCTTTTTTCTCTGGGCCTTTTGAGGTATTCAGAATAGGTGACAATAGCTTGCAGTTGAGAACATATGTAGAGAGACCCCTGTGGCTTATTGGAAGAAGTTGCTCCATGCTGGTTGGGTGTTTGGAAAAAAAAAATACAACCAGAGTTCTTTTATGTTCTCCTAGTTAATGAATGCATGAATGTCAAAATGGGCCAATGGCCCATTCAGGGGGCAAAGCCTTAGCAGCCCCCTTCTTTAAGAACACATCCTGAGATGCAAAATACATTTGCTTAACAAATTAAAATAATGAGATAATTCAATTAGCTTCTTTTTTATAAAAGAAAGAAAAAAGGGTACATCAGGGATTATTGTAATACAAGAACAGGTCATACTGCACAAAAGGGAACAAACCAGTTTGAAATAATGTTAAAGAGACTAATAATGGAGAAATGCACATTGAATCATGTACTTGTAAAGAAATTTACATGAAATAATAATTTAGACCACATCTATTTTCAGTGAGCTAGAGCCAACATTTCACTTTGAAAGTTGAAATTAATTAAAAGACAGAAAAATATAGTAGGACATCTCTATTTCGAAGGACTTCCTCATGCCTGTTAATGCACATAAGAAAAGAAGTCTAAATTAACATGTCGCTAGTTAGGGGTCTCCATTCTTGGTTTCTGAGCTCAGAATTATAGCAGAGTAAATCTTTCAGCTCATTAAAGATTGGAAAGTAAAAGTTTTACAGGACCATCCTCATCAAAGTTACTGAACCTCTTCTCTTCAGCTGGGGTGAAGTCTGGATGGAGGTAGAAAAAAAATTCAAAGATAAAGCCAAGAAGAATTTCCTTAAGATACAAGGGAGGTACAAAAAAGGCAGAGAAGGGGAGCAGAGAGAAAGACTGGGAGACAAAGCCAGTGGAAGGAAGTAATGAAAGGGCCATGTGGTGAAAGAAGGCCATGCGGAGGAGAAAAATAAAGCACTTAGTGGAAAGCAAAAAGAAAGGGGGACAGAGAAGAAAGGATGACCAGAGGCTGGGACAGAGCAGTGTTCTGAATAAATGTTCTTCAGCAGAACCAAAACCTACGAGCGTGGGAAAGGAGCCTGCACTGCATATCTCTCGTTTGAAAAATGGGGAAATGGAAGGTCCAGAGAACTTAAGAGATTTAACTGAGGTTCAGCCAGTACTGAGGAAAACTGAGCTTGAAATGCCAGTTTCCTAGACTCTCCAGCTCTGGCTATTTGAGTATCCTCTCTCCACTCCAAAGATAGGGATTTATTAAAATTTTCAGGTGGACAGAGAATTCTGCACAAAGCCTTGTGCACATTTAACTAAGAGGAAAGCACTCGCTTAGTAGCATCTCGCACAGTAGAGCCACAAGCACCTAGGAATCACTGGCCACCCACAATTCTTTGCCAGTGGCCACGGCACAGGGTGGATTCCTTTCAGGACAGGGACAGGACAAGGCAGGAGGTCCAGCAAGGGCCCTGGACACTTCCATAGGAAATTCAAATCACAGAATACAAGTGGTGAAGGAGAAAGGTGGCTTGAAGAAAGAGGTGCAGGAAAGTCTTCTCTATTTGGAAAGGTTGGAGGAGCAGGAAACTTTAAAAACAAAACAGCACTTTGCTTCTCCATATCTCCAGTCCATCCTCCCTTTGAAGCTGAGTGCGTTGATGGCAGAGGTTATGAGATTTATATGCAACAGTTAAAGGTGATAATGATTTTAGCAGTCATCATAAAAGTGGTGGAAAAAGCACAGATCTGGGGACAAGGAAGCCTTGGGTCCCGGTCAAAGCTTGACTTTGAGCTAATCGCTTCTCTTTCTGGGTCTCAGCCTCCTCATTTGTAAGTAGAGCAGCTAAATTCTCTAAGGTTCTGCTGTTCTGTGAACTGGTTTTGATGACTGAGGGAGATGTTCGCTCAGAAAGCAACTGTTGAAGTCTTTATTTTCAACCAAGAAAAGTGGAGTGTGAAGAAAGACAGGGAGGAAACTGAACAGGTAAACTCCTGGGAGAAAGTGGCATGCCTACCCTGCAGCTTCCCTGCCTTTCTTAGTTGCTACTCTAACCAAACAAACCTTCAGTTAAAAATGAGAAACCCCTCCCCTCACACTCACTCGACTTCCAAATTAAAAACATTTTACAGGTTAGTAAATCTCCAGCTGAGGTGATGTAGCAAAGAACAGCTGTGAAGTAATTTTGATAATGATGAGAATAATAACCACATGGCAAGGTTCAGGGCTTTGCTGTTGCAGCTTCAGTGCTCCTGAATAGATAAAAGTGATTAAATACTCCTGATTATCCCTGACCAATATGTAATGGATTTACAGCCCTTTCAATTAGTCAGTATTTGCTTAGGACTCATTATTTTGTCTTTGGTTAAGTAATCAGCCCAGAGACCGCATGTTCTGTCTAATTCCTCTGAGCCGAGTCAGTGCAGGGCCCTGACCTTTGAAATGGCCATAGCTGCAAGGCAAGAATAACCACTGCCCCAGCAGCCTCGTTGGTTCTCCCAGCTAATCCTGACACCACAGGCCAGATCGATACACCTTAGTTTGCTACTAATGTCCTTACATCAAAATGGCCGATTTAGGAATGTGAATCTATCACTTTGCCCTCCCCACCACCACTCCGCCCCTTGCCCTTTGTAGCTCTGCTAGAAGAGCAGATCAGCAGCCGCCACCATAAATAAAAGTGGAACCTTGTCCTGGACCCATGACACTGTAACTAATGTCATTCAGCATGGCAACACGCAAGTTGGATAATCAAAGACCTTCAGCTTTTAATGCGTGACTCTATTTTTGAGCATTAGCCTAAATAAAATGGCCTGAAAATAATATTATAGCAAGAAACAGCCTATGAAATCTTTACCATTCCTAGAATTTCCAAATGAACAGTAAAATATGAGTGCCTAGTTACACTGTAAAAAATATATTGTAATTTTTTTGTCATGAGAGTCTTAAGAGTCAACAGTATATACCGACACATAAAACCCATATAAAACCGATTGCAAATAGGAGGATAAAGATAAATTGTTACTTAAAAAATGTTGCACATAGTTGATCTATTCCCAGAAGTGAAGAGGGTTAGCTTATAAAATAATGGACTTGAACAGCTAAAGAAGAATCTTTAATCTCCACCTTCCGAACAAAGGCGTTATAGCACCTATAACCCTTCTGCGTTTGTCATATAAACACATAACATGTTTGAAAGCTGCTTCAGTGATTACAATTGCACTTGATACCACGAGCTTGGACATACGTGTATGTGGCAAGGTGCATTTTTTACCTCCTAGAGGAGATGGCTTTCGTTAAGAGTGTAATCGGCAGTGTTGATGGTTTCACAAGCTTCTTACAAACATTTCCCTTGGTTGCAGTTGCATTATCTGGTTACTCTCAGACCTCAAATAAATTTACTCATTATACTGTTCAGGGTCCTAGACCATTTTGAATAAGGTCCATTCTTGGCCTATTAAAACAAAAATCTTTCTAGAGAGTGCTCTATGGATGGTGATAGTTGATAAAACCTTAACCATTCTGTTAGTCATCAGATTTCAAGAAAGGGAAAATAGGCATCTTATTTTAAGAAATCTGTATGCACCTGTATAACTTACTGGAAAAAGGCAAGACAACAAAACTTATATTTTTCTCTTTCATCTTGACTTACTGTGAGATGCTGGAAGAGCCACGCTCTCATGATATTTGTTGCTACTTTGGGGAAAATGCCTCTTTTCTTCTGGCGTTTTTTGTCCTTGTCTGGATCATCATCGTCACCTGTGCCAGGTGAAGCTACACTGTTGTCTAAACCATCCCCTAGTAGGAAAAAAAAAATGAAAATACATTAGAGAAAACACAGAAAGGGGGCCAACAACAATGTGCAGCTAATGATGAGCTCAGCTCAGCTTGTTGAAAGAAATCCATTAAGCGGGTATATTCTCTTTCATTAAAGTATAATTGGAGACACAAATATGTAAAAGACAAAATTAAACCAGGCCTCTTCAAATGTTAATTTTGTGTGTCTCACACTCTCCCGTATCATTAATTCAATTATAATTGTGCGCTTGACACAGTGCAGTAGCTCTTTGTCAATTACGGAATCCAATGTGGGAAAACCGCCATCAGAAATCCCATTCGGTGAAAATGCATCCCGTGCCCATAGTGAACACATACTGTAGGGCAATCAAGTTAAATGTTCTGTAGTCTATATATTCTAGGCTGCCTGCATAGGTGACAGTAACTGTGTCACTGTTCATTGCACATAACACACTGCCTGCTCAGCCCCTCCTAAAACTGTCACCTCCTAAGCACACACACTTGAAAACTCCTCAGATGACCCTGCACTCCGCATTTGCATGACATGCAAACTTTTAGCTCTCTGCACCACTGATCGTTATCATTAAAAAAAAAAGGGGGTATACATCAAGGTAGGGTGCTCACTTAATCAGAAGTTTCTATCAACATCTTTCTCTTCTATGCTTTTCTCTGGCATTAATTGTGCATTAGCAAAAATCATTTACTTTTAACAGTCATAGTTATTTTTTCTTGCCCTCTGGCAAAAATGCCTTGAAAGCCTGCCTGGAGGGCATCTAAATTATGTATCTGAAAAACTCTTCTGGCAAGGCATTGCAGGACCCCTACTTTCTTAAAATTCATACGAGCACGTCTTCCTGTTTTTGGGAAGGCATCAATCAAGAGCAGCAATATATGCCATATCCCTACATTAATATTTGAACTAATAACTTTAAAAAAAGGAAAGAAACAAGATCCGACTTGTGGCATAATCAAATGCAAAATAAATGAAGAATACGGGGACAGCACAGGGGCTTTATAGATGGCTGTGTTTTCCTTGCACATCATTAGCCTGGAGCCACACGAAAGAGGAAAACAGAGAAGTGGAGAGTTTATGCTCCCCGCTGGTGTTTAAGAAGCCAGGGTCCTGGAAGGACATCTGGGAATTGCGCTGAGATGGGTTTTTTTGTAATTTAAGAATAGACATTCATTAGCAGTAAATGCCATAAATCCCATGCTAAGTAAAAACCTTGTCCAAGAAAGCCTAAAACAATAAACTCTGTGCTCAATGTAGCCTGAGCTAGCTGCTCAGCAGCTTCTCGGAGAATGCCACAGATCTGCGGCTCATTCTCGGACGCTCTCTCCTCTTGGACTGGGCTGCACCATGACATCTTGCCCACTGGGCTCCTGCCTTCCAACTTCAGGGTCCGCTCTGTGGGCTATCCTGTACCTGTTCTTTTCCTCCCACCGAAAAAAAAAAAAAAAAAATCCCTCAACCTTCTTTGACCAGAGAAGCAGAAAAGCCACAGCAAAGAGCTGGCAGATTAATTTTATTGACATTTCCATTTTCACTGCAATGCGATACCCTCCATCACATGGAAGAGATGACCCTCACTATTTACAGACTGACAGGCCACTTCATTACAACCACCCTGCCCCAAGGCAAAGCAGCTCCCTTCCATCTGCCCAAACACTAGAGCATGACCCCGAAGTTGCTGTTCTCTTTTTCTTTGCCGTCTGTTATGATAAAAAAAAAAAAAGAGTGAGTCAAAGGGACCCCAAATAGGCAAAGAACTAATCAGAGTACAGGGAAACAAAAGGCATTTGACTTCTGAATACTGTATGTTCAGAGTCTACTCTTCATCTGTCTACGCACCCTGCAGACCCATGTACACTAAGGGGCCACTTGCACAAGGACAGACACACACACACACACACACACACACACACACACACACACGCGTGCGTGCGCGCGCGCTTCCCACCATGCCAAGGAACTGCTGCAAGGCAAATTCTCACCCACACTAATGGCTTCTGACTGCTCCTTGGCAACCCTAGCATTTTAACCTGAGTGGATGTGCTCTCCAAAATACAGACACTGGAGCGATCTCATCAGCTGTTCATGTGACACAGATGGAGAGTGGCTATTAGGAGCCAGGCAGTGGGCCTTAGGGATCTGAGGTGCTGTTCTGTAGCCTGAGGCGCTTTTGAAAAGCAGTACCCGGAGATGAGGGAAAAAAAAATCCACACTGCAAGTGAGTTTGAAGTCAGTCAGTCTGTCTACCTACTATGGATAAAGATATCTTTGTCTCTTAATGTGAAATCTATGTGGGCTATCTGGATGTACATTTCAGATAATGTATGTATGGAATGGCTCTTCCTTCAGTGTCTTCCAAATATAAAAACACAGGCTGTAAACAATGCCTGTGTGTATATATTTCTTTCTAAGCACATATGGTTTCTGTGTATATGTTTAAGCTGAAATTGTCAGGATTTTGTTAAAATCTCATTTAGCTTTTTCTGATAGATTTTTGAATATACTTATTTTCAAAGGTTAATGGCTTAATTGAAGGAAGTTCAGCAAAAAACAGCATTTGCCTTTAACCCAATCGGTGACCTTAAAAATGAGAGGCAGCATTTCCACAGTGCATTTTCTCTTGCTTAAAAGCAAAGAGGGCTGGTAACACCTTCAAACTATATGATTCACTGTATTTAGCGCACGGAAAAAAAATATAGCTAGATTGAGATCCTTTGATGGCTGACTTAAACTGAAAAAGACAGGAACATTACATGAATTTTAACACAAAGCAGTCCATTTTATATAAATGTCATAAAATATCTGAATTAGAATCCAGTGTAACAAATAATTGTAAAGGAAAATATCCTTATTTTTATAATAACTAGACACTAGACGTTATATTTTTAAATTAACATTAGTGTTTATACCTCTATAAAGAGAGGAATTTTCCTCTCCAAATATACAATAAATACCACTGTCTTTTCCTTCAATAGATTGTGAACCAACTTCAGCATAGAGGACTAACAACAGCATAAAGCAAAAATTTAAAAGGCAACTGTGATCTGCAATGTAAAATAAAATTCTGCAGATGTTAGAGTTCGTAACTCTGAAAGTAGATACTGTTTTCTTGTTTTTGGGCTATGTGTGTGTGTGTAAGATAGTTGGCAATCCTTGGCACCTGTACCAAATGAGTTTTTTTGCCAAAAAGTGTGAGTATACCTGTACAGATGCATGTGCCAAAGGAGGTATGGGAGATAATGGCATACGCCTCAGCATCTGAAGTTAGGATTCCAAAGTGTGGAATTCTTGAGAACAGGAACTGTTTCTTGTTTATCTTTTTATCCTGAGAGCATACTCCATGTCTGACCCAGAGCAGATACCCAGTGATTGCCGGGCGAGGGCATGACTGAACTTACAGTGAGCTTCCTCAAGGATCTGCCCCTCTTTCTGATCATCCCAATCTGGGGCAAGCACACTCAATATGGTACCCAAGGAGCTGGGTGGCTTGCCCTTGTGCACGCAGTCATGTCTAAACATGCCAGGAACAGCAGTTCTTCAAAGAACTCAGTGCCCATCAGGGCCTTTCTGAAGGGCGTAATCGCAAGGCCATTCCACCAGCAATGCCACCTCTGATGATGAAAAACTAAATAAATACTGGGTATGCTTCTTTTAAAAGGTGGTTAATACCTTGACTAAGGGTGTAGTCTAAGTTTTGGGCAAAGAGATTCAAAATAGCTGTGTATTACTAGAACACACTGTGTGTGACTATGGAAAGAAATATTCAAAGTCTGTAGATAGATAACTTTGAAGTGGATTAAATCATCAGGAGAGATTGTTAAAAGCACAGGTTCCCAGGCCTCATCCCAGACTTACTGAATCAAAGTATCCTGGGGGCAGAGACAAGGAATTTGTATTTTTAACAAGTTCTTTGGTTTTGCTTATGCATTCAGCCTAGCACTCGTTCTTAAACTGGCTTTTGGAAGCCACTAAACTAGATGACCTTCTAATTTGAAATAAAATGCGACCTCACTTAAAATTCTATTTTACTCCCATGAATGGAGTCATTGGTCATGGTGAGCACCTGCAATCTGGCTTGGGCCTTATTCACTGCAGGAAAGCCATGCTGTTCTCCATCGCATGTACTGGCCGATATAATGGAGCCCCATCCTAACCTTCAGGTGGTGAGGGTTAAAAAGGAAGAAAGAAGCTATAGGACACTAACCCTCAAAATAGAGACCACTATTTTGAGAAGAAACTGTGAGAAAAGTGAATTCTTGGACCTGCCCCAGACCTACTGAATCTGAATCTCCAGGAATGGGGCCTGACAATCTGAGTGTCACTAAGCAGTCTGGGTGGTTCTGATGACCACTCAAGTTTGAGAAACACCGCTGTAGAGCACAGAAGAAATCCCCTTAGCCTGCTACCCCTGGTGGTGGTTGGTTGTCTGAAGGCCTGAATCTAATCTCTGGGTATTCTTCCTGTTTGAGACTTTGAGAGATTTGAGAAACATCTCTCACTGGATTTACATCCATGCTCAGCAGCAAGTCACACATCCTTTCCACAGATCAAGACATCTAGGTGGAGGCAGAAATCCACATCCATAGCTGTGTAGCCAGAGAATCAAGGAAAGATATGGCTATGTTATGAGAGGATTTTCAGATGATTTTAAGGCAGCCATTCCCAATCCATAAAATGGAAGTATACTACTTCTTCCATTTAGCCAAAAATGTCTATATTTTAGACATCAACTACTTGGTTTGGAATAAAGGAATGATACAAACAGTGATGATGTGCTATGATGAGTTCAACACCACCGGGATGTGGCCTTCTCGCCCTGTCAGAACTATAACTCAATGACCAAAAGGGTCCTAGTCCATCTTTTTCTATCTACTCCCCCTCCCCCCTCCCTACTCCTCCACAACAAACAAACAAACAAAGAAAAACCCAGACATTTAGCAGTGAAGAAATCAAGGCCAGGAGGTTAAATCCTTGCCCAAGATTCCAC